CGCCACGCCCCGCCACGCCCCACCACGCCCCCTCCCCAGCCCCCGCAGCGTGGCACCCAAGTAATAGCGTTTACAAAAGCGTGACAAGACCAAAATACACACCGGGTCCATCTCATCTGCGAGACGAGCTCTGCTGTCTCCCCTCTCCTCCCCCTCAGCCACCACCGGGGGCAGCGCGGCGCGGGTGCGAGGGAGAGAGAGAGAGGAGCCCCACAAAGGGGTTGGGCCCCTCGTCGGGGCAGCCGGCCTGAAGGAGACAGGGGGGAGAGAGAGAGAGAGACAGAGTCAGCCAGCCTCCGCCGCCGAACGCACCCCAACACATTATACATGGATTCCTCCATTGGCCACGGTGGGGCCGGCCCGCCAGGCCTAATTGAACAACCTGCGTAAAAATAGCTCATGTGCCACCCTCATAGAGACGGCTAGATACCGCTCACAATGGTACACGCCGCCGGGCACCACGGCCCTACGGGGCTCCACTGCGAAGCCGTACGGGTGACCGTCTCGGCGCTGCCCCCTTCTTTCTCTCTCTCTCTTGTTTTCTCCCTTTCTCTCTCCTCCTCGTCTCCGTCTCCCTTCGGATCACACCCCTCTAGCATCGGCCCAAGGCATCGGCCCAAGCAGCGCGCAGTTAATCCAATCAGCAAGACGACGGAATTATTCACTCACTACTCTCCCTCTTCCCCCGGTCTCTATTTTTATGACGGAACCGCGCATTGTTTCCCACAACCCTTGCTTCTCTCTCTCTCTCTCTCTCTCTCTCTCTCTCTCTCTCTCTCTCTCTCTCTCTCTCTCCTACGCCGCGCCGTGTTGAACTGTGATCACCAAACAGAGGCCTTTCAGCGGTGCCGGCCGTCACCGCCGCGCCGCCGGCTGCCGCCAGCTCCCCTCCCGAGGGCCTAAAGGGCCACGGGGAGAGCGAGGAAGGGTAAGGGAAGGTCTCAGCGTCTTCAAGGGTCTTCCTAATACGCGGCCGGGCCCTTCGTATGCTGACTGATATGCAGGGGGGAAGCCCCTGCAAAGACGGCAGGGGCTGAGGAGGGAAAAGAAGGGAGGACTAACCTTCTTTATACACATACACACGGGCACACCAAGACACACACACACAACACAGGCAACTTCCCGCCGGGCGGCACTACCCGCTAGATTTCTCACAGTAGAAAAGGATCACAGATAAATTTAACATTTAATTTTGCCAGAGTATTCTCGTATAGCCTATGCATAAGAAAATTAGGATGATAGACTCACCGAAACGGATCCCGTCTTATTGGCCAAATCGATTCCGCCACTCACCTGGAAAACGACGAAAACATAAACATGACAGGTGGGAAAAAACATTGAACGTGATGATTTTCGTAGTTTTCGGACGGGGGAGGGGGGCTCTAAATACAATATGCCAGTGAATATTTCCAAGAGGTAGCTTCATGTTGACATTCTTACAGAGTTTTTTTTTAGCTACATTTAGCAGCAAAGCTAAATTTTTAGCTACCTTTGCCAAATGATCAGTTTTGCCCTATTTAGCTCTTGTTTAGCTATACAGTAGAGGTTTATTTTTATTTATTTTTATTTTTTT